CTGGGGAAGGCGGTGACTGTGAGCAGAGTTTGGTTCAGCTGGAGCACAGATGACGCCTCTCTCCTCCGCTTCCCCATGTTGTCCTCGACGGTGTTGAACTCCGACATCGAGCCGCCGTACGGCTGTCCCGGCGTGCCTTCGATCATGTAACTCCCGTACTCCGGCCTCCACAGCGTCGGGTGGCTGCGCACACACACACACACACACACTTCAAGATCAATATTCTGTCTCTTTATGAAAAGGAACTTATAAATGTGAATTACTAGCAGAAGCACTTCATTTAATCCATTATGCATTGGTAGATAAATGAGCACTAGTGTATTAGTGGCCTCCATTACATTCTTGCTCTAGTAATGTAAACTAATGCACAGCACAACAGACAACGGCCAGTAATGATGATAAGAGAGTACATTACTAGACCAAGAATATGATGGATGTCACTAATACAAACTAATGCACAACACAACAGACAACGGCCAATGATGATGTAAAGAGAGAGCTGTGGCCAATACAACTACAATCAAGAGACACCTAAAATATTGAAAATCACTACAATATCTGAACAGATATCATACATTACACAATGACTAGAGTTTGGATTCTAACGTTTGGAAAAGACAAATTATAAAATTTCCACAATTATTTTTTTTGACTTTTTAATGCTTAAATTAAATTTTAGTAATCAAAAAACTAAACAATAAATGAAACTTGAAAATGAAATCTAAACAATTCATGAAACCTACACAATTTATCAACAATCTATTAATTGACACTTTTTTCTCAAATCCAATTCTCACCAAATTCTGTGTTTTCCATTTTTAATTTTATTGATTCCATTTTAATGGTTTGATTAAATTAATAATCAAAATGCATGACTAATCAACTGAATTTATAGAACTTTCACTTAATAAATTACTTCCTCAGAAATTCCGTTTTTTTTCTGGATTTATAAATTAATGCAAATTCATTACATCAAAAACGTTGGAAATCAATGGAATAAACCAAACAATTTAATAAACCTTTCAAACAAATGAAAATTTAACAATTCCTTTTATTTTTTGGCAGACAAAATGTCAAGCCAAACCAAACTTGTCTTGTGACAGGTCGCCGTGAAGACCTTTGAGTTTCTGTGTGTGTATGAGCAATCATGCAAACATATTTAAATAATCTTTTTGAGCTTTAATACTCACAGACATCAGTCCATATCAAGATTTGAATAATTATACAACCATACGTTTGATTTATGACTGGATTCCATCAGTGTTTTTCCACATCGTGGAATATATCAGTCTATGAAATTACATTTTTTTTTCTCAAATTCAGTTTTATTCTCCAGTTTAAATTTTATGGATTCCAGTTTTTTTTAAGCTTTAATACTCACAGACATCAGTCCATATCAAGATTTGAATAATTATACAACCATAAGTTTGATTTATTCATCCAGAATTTGCAGAATTCCATGACATTTTACAGTAAATTACATGTTTATGACTGGATTCCATCAGTGTTTTTCCACATCGTGGAGTATACGAGTCTACGGCTAATGCAAACGTGTTGACCGTGATCATCGATGTGAAGTGTACAGTGCTGTGACACTCTTCAGTGTGTGCAGCAGAGAGGCAGTAATGTGGAATGCCACTCTCTCATTTCCCAGTGTGTGTGTGTGTGTGTGTGTGTGTGTGTGTGCATGTGCGTGTATGTGTGTGCTGATATTCCCCTGAGCTACAGACATACAGGGTTCCCACACCTATGGTTAACTTCAAATTCAAGGAACTTTTAAGAACTTTCCAGGTCCAATATTCAAATTCAATGACTTAAAGGATTATTTCACTTTAAAAAAAAAACTTTTGCTGATGAAAACATTCCAGGATTTTTCTCCATATAATGGACTTCAATGGGGTCCAAACGGTTCAAGGTCCAGATGACAGTTTCAGTGCAGCTTTAAACGACACCAGACGATGAATAAGGGTCTTATCTAGCGAAACGATCGGTCATTTCAAAAATAAATTAAAAAGTTTAAGTTTTATAAGCACAAATGCTCACCTTGCTCTGTTCTGTGAGACCTTTTCAACGTAATTGCGTATTACGTGACGTCACGAACGCGCAACTTTTATTTTTGAAATGAGCGATTGTTTCGCTAGATAAGACCCTTATTCATCGTCTGGTATCGTTTAAAGCTGCACTGAAACTGTCATCTGGACCTTGAACCGTTTGGACCCCATTGAAGTCCATTATATGGAGAAAAATCCTGGAATGTTTTCATCAAAAACCTTCATTTCTTTTCGACTGAAGAAAGAAAGACTAGGACATCTTGGATGACATGGGGGCGAGTTAATTATCAGCAAAAGTTTTTTAAAAGTGAACTTCTCCTTTAATGTAGTTCGTGTTACCTCGTATGATACATTGTTACAGTTCACATGTATGTGTCAAACAACTATGCAAAAAAGCTCTTTTTTTTTGCATTTATTTTTGGCCATATGAATTTGCATAAAACTGAATAATATTCGGTATATCCTATATTCCAAAATTCTGTATTCCTTTATTGAAAAGAGCTTAGGCTCATGTGTCCAGCCTATTTCTGCAATGTTTCACGGTGTGTCTGTGAAGCGTAGTAGTTTTGCGCGCGCGAACATCATGAAAACGTACAACACAAAGCACCCACACAGGAAACACTTAACGTACCGCGGGAATGCGCGTAACTAACGCAAATCAAGCAAGCTAGTGCGCATAGGCCACGAAGTGTTGGCGGAATAACACATTAGCGGACCCGAGGGAATAATAATTCCAGAAAACTTCTTGCACAAATTAAATTCAAGCACTTTTCAATGTTTATTTTCAAAAGCTTTCCAGGGCCTTGAAATGTTTTTTTCAGATTCACAAACTTTCAATGATTTTAAGGACCCGTGGGAACCTGAACACAGGTCACGTTCCTCACTCCTACACAACTTATCAAACTTCAAATAATGCGTATCCTTTCCAAACTAACTTCTGATGAGCACGTAATAAAAAAAAAAAAGAAAGATTTAAGTGGCCCTATTGTTAATTTAAATGTAGTGTGTAATAGAGCTGTTTGTGAATGTAAAAGTTCTGTATAGTTTCAAAGATCAAAGTGCAGATACATGGAGGTTTTGTCTCCTAAAAGAAAGAAGTGATTCTGAACTGAAACGAGTCGTCAGTAATATCTTTGTAGGGTTGTAACTAATTTGCATAATGCCAGCCCAGGGCTCCAGACTAACTTTTCCACTGGTTGCACTGGTGCTACCAACTTTCTCAGTTGGTCGCACCAGCATATGATTTGGTCGCACCTTTTTTTCTTTTTTTTTTGCTACATGCCATGGGATTAATCAATGCATGCTGATGATTAGTGGTTTTAATGGACCAAGGCTAGCAAAGGCTTTCTGGGTTGCAGCAGAAATACCTGTAATATATTAATTATCATTGCCAAATTTCAGGATTTTCATGGATTTTGGACAGTAATTTTAATATGTAATTTTAAGCATTTTACATTTGAATTATATACAATCTATCTATTTACATTTGAATCATATTCTATCTATCTATCTGTCTATTATCATCTTTCTATCTTTTAAAAATCATTAAACATTCAAATGTATGCATTACATTTTAAAAGATTAGAGTATTATAATAAACTGATACAGATTTTTCGTTATCAAAGTTTATAGTTGTAACAAAAAGCAGAAATCTCACACTCCTTACCTTCTGCATTTTATAATAATTTCCTTTTCCTCTGTCGAGCGATCATGAGAGTAATCGCTCGACAGAGGAAAATATAACCGCTGAAAAGACGTAGGAGGAAGGGGCTCTGTGTTTCGTGAGACCATTTTTATAATTTTTAAATGCCTTAATTCGTGAATTCGTAATTGGCGCGTTTCACCATCAGTGTGCAATGCGCGTGACATCTACGTTAGTCAATAAATAAACTGCACGTGTCTTGCGAAAGAACACTGTAGCCGGAGCTACTTCTCTCCGTTAATGTCTATGGCGAGTCACGCAGGCACTGGGCTACTCTGCAGCCGAGACGACCCCGGGATAAAATAGTCCGAATATAAACACTTATTATAGGCGTACCGTAGTGATTCAGAATAAGTCAAAAACACGATTTGGAAAATGGATTCATGATGTAGCCTACTCGTTCATTTTGAACATAAGTTACGGACTGCAGCAGCTGATACAACGGCGTTCTGTTGCTCAAGCGTCCACTCGCACAAATGCGACCACATAACATTTTAACTCGCACATGCTCAAAAAATGGTCGCATATGCGACCAATTTGGTCGCAGTCTGGAACCCTGCAGCCTGTAGTGTTGATTGGCTGATCAGCGTCTCTTAGCTCCGCCCTCAATCACTGTAGTGTATCTGAGACTGGGAGAGTTGGGTTCGTGTTGTTCGTGTCGAGAAGACACTGTTTTCTGCTCACAAAGCAAATCCACTTTGATGAGATTGATACGGTGAAACCCTCGCCATCGTTACTGTTCGTATCACTGTGATCAAGAGCTGAGATTCACATATGATAATGAGCGTTTGCTTTCTGACCAATCACAGCAGAGCAGCTCTCAGAGAGGCGGGGCTTAGAGAGACTGAATCTTTATCGGAGCGTTTCAGACACTGAGAGAAAGAGCTGACGCTGCAGTGGAGATTATGAGTTAAAGGAGTAGTTCACTTTTGAAAAAACTTTTGCTGATAATTTACTCACCCCCATGTCATCCAAGATGTCCATGTCTTTCTTTCCTCAGTCGAAAAGAAATTACGGTTTTTGATGAAAACATTCCAGGATTTTTCTCCATATAATGGACTTAAATGGGAACCATACGGTCCAAGGTCCAAAATACAGTTAATAACAGTTTCAGATGCAGCTTAAAATGGCTTTAAACGACACCAGACGATGAATAAGGGTCTTATCATGCGAAACGATCGCTCATTTAAAAAATAAATAACAACGTTTAAGTTTTATAAGCTCACATGCTCGCCTTGCTCTGTTCTGTGTGACTCTCCTGTTCGAACTCGTTCATCAAAATGAACAAATCTTTCTTCGAGTCATTTGATTCATTTAACGACCGAAATGAACGAATTGACTCGGAAAAAGATTTGTTCATTTTGATGAACGAGTTCGAACAGGAGAGTCACACAGAACAGAGAAAGGCGAGCATGTGAGCTTATAAAACTTAAACGTTGTTATTTATTTTTTAAATGAGCGATCGTTTCGCATGATAAGACCCTTATTCATCGTCTGGTGTCGTTTAAAGCCATTTTAAGCTGCATCTGAAACTGTTATTAACTGTATTTTGGACCTTGGACCGTATGGTTCCCATTTAAGTCCATTATATGGAGAAAAATCCTGGAATGTTTTCATCAAAAACCTTCATTTCTTTTCGACTGAAGAAAGAAAGACATGGACATCTTGGATGACATGGGGGCGAGTAAATTATCAGCAAAAGTTTTTTTTAAAGTGAACTAATCCTTTAAATAAAGTGTTTTTGACCTTAGATGCATTTAAACCTGTTGCAGGAGACTCTGAAACAACATTAGGAACCTTTAAAATAGCACAATAGAGGCAAGTCTAATCAAAGGGAGAGGAACAGTAAACACAAAAGATACTATCGATCTTGACTTATTAAATACATGCATAAAAGAGGGATTGGCTGCAAGACTTTACAGTTAAAGTGTAAAAAAGGAGCTAATAAATCAAATAAATGAACAATGGTGACAAACCCTTTTTATCCCGGCTTTTTTAACACAGTTGCCGCTAAACCTGCTATTGTTGAAGTCATGATTGTGAGGAGCCTGTAAATCTAGGAGTATGTAAACTAAATAATAGGGATGCACGATATATCTAGCCTGGCTCCGCCCTCCTACGCACTTCCGCTCAATTTCATTTTCCTTCAGTACTACGTCTGGGATTGTGCTGTAGACTTCGGTTTCCAGAAATCAATTTTTTACCGGGCCAATCAGCGAACAGAGGGAGTGGCTGAGAACGATGACGTTGATGTCGACTCGTGCGTTATTTTGAGTTGTAGCTCAGTAATGGCAGAGGAGACAGATGCGAGTGAAGCTATTCGGTCCGTTGTGGCAACGCTGCCGAATATCAAGAAGTTAAAGCCGGAGCAAGAACAATCTTTGCTTAGTTTTGTGTTTATGGCCATCCTCCCACGGGGTTCGGGAAAAGACATATGTCACGACCAAACGTTAGCGATTGGTTATGGCAGATAGAGTGACTCTGGGCAGATCCAATAGTTTTAGACTTCAATAGAATACCCGCCTACAAGGAAGTAAACGCTTGTCAATGGAGCGGTGCCAGACTCTCTGTACAAATGAAATGTACGAGAGTCTGGTAGAACCAGGCTACGATATATCGGCATCAACCAATAATATATGATCATTTTTAATATTATCGTTATCAGCCTGATAAGAAAATTTGCCCGATATATTAAAGCCGATAAATACTGCATTATTTCCTTAATTTGAAACACTTCAGATGCGCACTGTTCAACATGATGGTTTTGAATTGCTTGAAATATGATTGGAATTAATACAAAAAGGAAAATGCAGTTCAGTGCAACGTGTGTCATATCGGCTACATAACATTATCACGAGAACATAATAGTGTGTGTTTGGGACGTGGCTTTTAATGGTGAGACTTTTGTTTTTGTAATCAGGCTCTCAGAAAATTATAAAATTTTGGATTTAGATTTATCGACCGATATATCGGTTATCGGTTTCCAAATATAAAGAATTATCGGTATCGACCAAATATTCTAAGTGGAAAACTTTAACATTGTTTTTTTTTTTGGGGGGGGGGGGGGGGGGGTCATCATCACACCAACATGTTCAGAATATTTTTGTGACACACTCAGTTACTCACTTAGGGTTGATCTTTTCCCCCTTTTCCTGAAGGATTTCCAAAACCTCCTTCCCGTTCAGAACCAGACGGGCTTTCTCATGCTTGTCATCCATTTCCACCAACATGTACTCCACCTGTGGGATGAGTTAGACCTCTTATCACACGGTTGATCGCATTACTACTGTAGCAAACATACTGACCACAAGAAAACAATAGTTCCTGCTTTGGCTGAGGTATTATTTGCCTTGCAAACCCAACCAACAATGACAAAGCACAGTGTTTTTCTTCTTATTACATTCATTATGAAAGTAAAAAAACACATTCCTAGTCGGATGCCATTCCATTCATTTTGCCTTTTAAATCCACTAACGCCGAACAAAGGGTTGTCCTAAACCAACAACATTCCAGCAGGTTTTATCGTAAATCCATTGCCGTCTTCTGGCTGGTCAAAGGTAATGAAATGAAAAGCCATTTCAATAGGAGGTTCAGAAATCGACATTATCCTGTTGATCCTACATGAACTGCGAGTTTGCACATGCAAACACGTTTAGGCGCCAAATGTTTAGTTTAGTACTCTTTAAAGAGCAGTGAACAGCCCGCTGAAAGATGAGCAACGGCACAGCCATCCAACCAAAAGAAATGGGATCTTTGCACAAAATCCATAAAATAAAAATCATTGTGTAAGAGGGCAGATCTTCACACGCCTGAGCACTTTACACATACATTACTCAATACGCCCACTCATTTCCCGAAGTTTGAATAACCACCGAAACTTTGAAATAATAGGCTAATAAAAATGGGAGAATATGATGTCAAACCCAAAAGATATTGTATTTGTGCTTCTTTAAAGTAGGCAGCCATATTTTGCCTGGATCTTCAGCACAATCTCCTAAAGTGGTTTAAAGTCCCCCTGCGGTGAAACTCCAGCGTTTAATGTTGTTTATGTGTCTATGTGGTGTTTTTAATACGCTTTAAGACACGCCATGTGTAAGTTCATAAGTCGACAGCATTGCTGAGTATTTCCTCCTTAAAACTGCAGTGAACCAAAGACAGTCTCAAAAACACGGTTTGAAATCGCTGGTGTTTCTGACGCCACAAACGACCTTGTAACCAATCAGATCAACGTGTGATCGTCAACCAGTGGATCTCTGAGTGAGTGAGTGAGTGGAGGCGGGCTCATTTGCATATTCATAGAACCACGCAGACTAAATGAGGCGAGGGTGTCGAGTTACGTTCAAGCTATTTTAAGGCTTTATAATTTTTTTAATATGTCATTTTGGTGATCAAAGATGAGCTTTAAAGGATAACATTATTGACTACAGGGAGACTTCATTTTAGGATTACTTTTAAACATCACTGAGGAGGTCAAAGGTCAGGTGGACATTTGTTGTACCGGATAGTTTGGGGTAATTACACTGTTGACCTTCCCTTACCCATCCCAGCAAACCTGTCTCTAACCTTAACCATATCCAACTCAATAACAGCGAATGTTTTGTAATACATCAACACAATAAACACATTCCTTTCCTATCAGACTTATGTCTTTGCATTGCTGTAAAATAGACATCTTATATAAAGTCTAAACTTTGCATTTATCTACAAAACCAAGTGCAAGATTGTAAGCATGAGCCTTTACAATGTTTTTTTTTTTTTAAGATCAAGTCAAGTGTGTCCAAAAAAAAGTGCATTAATAACAAACACACAGTGAGCTGAAGGTGCACCTGCTCACATCACCATTGCATCGTTTAATGCAACGCAACCACGTGTCCCCCATACATATGCAGTTATAAAATATGATTTCTGAGTATGTAAAGGAAAGCATGCCTCCTCACCTCATCTCCCCATTTCAGCACATCCTTCTGTCGCTCTTTCACCTTGTTGTAGATGTTGAGGAACTGAAGGATGCCGTGCTTTCTAACGTGGTCAGCATGTTTCTTGGTCTCTTCCCAGTTGAGCGGTGAGCCTTGAGACAGCAAGCCCATATCACAAACCTACAAACCCTGGCTTATGATTATTACGGACTTCAACTTGCAACTTCTCCTCCGCCGCGTCAGGCGTTTCGTGATAGTGACAAGCGATGATCTATAATGCGGGCGAGCGCGCGCGCTAGGCCCTTCAACGATTCGTTTTTCAGTAGGAAATGAATCGCTTTTGTTTCCAGGCGCTTTCTCGAGGGAAGGTTTCACTGTAACTCACGTTATGCGCGGATAAAGCGGCCTCGAGCTGCGAGCTGCTGATATTTGATCGGAGTGCGCGAGTTATGTCAGTCCTGTCCTCGCGCGCACACACTTTGCTTGCACTGACAACACGTGACCGTGTCGTTGCGGGCGCGTCATCATATTATGACTCAGCAATTCCTTCTTCCTCTTTGTTGTGCGCTGATGGTGACGGCGTGGTCAAGGCAACAACACGCGCATCAGTTTGAATGTGCTTTTGTAATCATGACAATGCAGAAAAATATTGTATTTTTGTGAAAATATTGTCTTTGTATTTTGATAATATTGTTTGTATTTTGGAATATGTTGGCTGTGAATGATTTGGGTTATGGTCGGAGCAACACCAAGGTCAGCAAACACAGAACGGTTTTTTTGTTGTTTTTTTATTTTTACAACCATGAACATTTGCTGCATGATTCTGAGACAAATACCATCACTTATATATGGCGTTGTGTGTGTGTGTGTGTGTGTGTGTGTGTGTGTGTGTGTGTGTGTGTTTTAAAAACCATTAATAACTTACACAAAACGTTCTTAATGTATTGTACAGAATTTTCGCTAATGGTCATTTTATTTATTTATTTATAACAATTCATTATTTACACAGAACATTCCCTAATGGTTATTTATTTATAACCGTTAATTCTTTACACAGAACATTCCCTAATGGTTATTTACTATTTATTTATTTATAATCATTCATCTTTTTACACAGAACGTTAATGGATATTTATTTATTTATTTATTTATTTTTATAATCGTTAATTCCTTACACAGGACGTTCCCAAATGGTTATTTTCTTTCTTTCTTTCTTTCTTTCTTTCTTTCTTTCTTTCTTTCTTTCTTTCTTTCTTTCTTTCTTTCTTACCATTAACTCTTTACACAAAACATTCCCTTATGGTTATTTATTTATTTTAATAACCATTAATTCTTTACACAGTGACAGAACATTCCCTAATGGTTATTTCATTTTTATAATAACAATTAATCAATAACTTACACCGAATGTTCCCTAATGTTTTTTATTCCATTATAATTATGATTATTACTATTTTATAACCACAGAATGTTTGCTAAAGGATATTTTTAGGTTTTATTTTCAGTACCATGTAGTGTAACGTCTATTAAAGGTATAGTTCACCCAGAAACCCTGTACTCGCCCTCAAGTGCTTCCAAACCGGTGTGAGTTTCTTTCCTCTGCTGAACACAAAACACAAAAGATGATATTTTGATGAATATGGGTGACCAGACACTTGATGAACCCCATGTATTTTCTTTTTCATACTATGGAAGTCAATGGGGTCCATCAACTGTTTGCTGTGTGAACCATCCCTTTAAACCATTGTAGATGCTTTTATGTGACAAATGTACACAGTTTACATTGAAGAATTCAGTAACATAAATAAGGGCAAATGGGGTCAGGCCTTTATTATTAGGTCAGGAGTCACTTCCTGCAGATTCACTTTTATCATCATTCATCATAATTATGATTTTGCATTGTCATACTCTCTGTTATCTGCCACTAGCTCCAACGCCCATCGGTGTGTTTACTAGTGAACTTGAAAGTGTAAAGTCAAAGCTTTTGTACAGGTTTACTCAGTGGATTGTGCAGCGAAGGGAACTGCAAACACAACCATGACTGTCTTTCATTGGTCAGACAAACGGGAAGGGAATCTCTCTCTCTCTCTTTCATTTTAGAAAGCTCAAAAGAACAGCATTTATCTGAAATAGAAAGCTTTTGTGACATTAAACACTACCGTTCAAAAGTTTGGGGTCAGTGAGAATTTTTATTTTATCTTTTGGGGGGGAAAAATAAAATAAATCAATACTTTTATTCATCAAGGATGAATTAAATTTATTAAAAGTTACAGTAAAGACATTTATAATGTTACAAAAGATTATATTTCAAATAAATGTTCTTTTTACTTTCTATTCATTGAAGAATCCTGGGGGGTAAAAAGTACACAACTGTTTTCAACATTGATAATAATATGTTTTTTAAGCATCAAATCATCACATTAGGGTGATTCTGAAGGATCATGTGACACTGAAGACTGAAAATACAGCTTTGATCACATGACATTTTTAAATATATTAAAATAGAAAACAGTTATTTTGAATTGTCTTAATATTTAACAATATTACGTATTTTTCTGTTTGTTTTGAAGCTGAAGAGACTTCTTTAAAAAACATTAAAAAATTAAAAAACTTTTGACTGGTAGTGTATATATATATATATAATGATTGTCCAAAATAGAAAAATGTATTTTTTCTTAAGATAGAAATAGAAAAATGCAACATTTCTTAAGAAGCTTTAATAAATATGCAGAGCTTTATTGTTTGACAACATGTATCACAGTATGTATATGCTAAATGCAATCCAATGATTTACATTAATAAGCAATATCTTTTTAAAGTAATAAATCAGTAGTGTGTTCAGTTGTCACATTTGTGTTTTTAATAAGAACATTAAAGTTCATGAACCATCCGGAAACAAAGCAGATGTTTGTGTTCGTCCTCGGACAGTTCAGGCCAAAACTTCTTCACAATTATCTATTCATTCTGCTTTCAGAAAAATGCCATCACTGTAAATCCCTCAGTGTTCTTCACATCATTCCTCACACACTTTCTGCTTTGGTGTTTTTACAGTGCAAACTGGGTTATAAACCTTTGTTATCTCCCTGCCGCCTAATGATTAATGAATAAAGACAATGTTAAGGAGTAAGTGAAATGAAAAACCTGGCTTATCCCACATTAATAAGCTCACAGTGCATCATCATTGCTTGTTAATCAAAGGAGAATGTCTAATATGCTGTAATTACCTCTTTTTAAGGTAGGCTATTAAGGCACTAATCGAATCGTAACTGGAGAACTGGCCCCCTCTTGGAAAATATGTTCCCAATGAAAATTATGACTTGATTTTACAGATATGTATTGTTTGTGTGCGTTTCCTTTTCTCCGTAAACATTATAAACAACAATTCTACCTCCAAGAAAAATCTCTCTCGCTTTCCCGGTTTCCACAACCTTTGAACCACCTTTAAATACACATCAATACTTTGTTTTTTCTTTTCAAGATGCTTATATTTTAAACATTAGTGACTTGTGAATTTGTGATTTCTATGTTTTAGGGGTGTAACGGTACATGCATTCGTCTCGGTACAGACGTCACGGTTCGGTTCAATACAGTCAGACGATGAACACAGTCAGTCACAGGCGATGCACACTCCAGTCCAGAAGGGGGCGCACGCGGTAATGCAACGCCGTTTGCTAACCGCCACAACAGGAAAAAGAGCAGAAGAAGAAGAGACGCTCTACGCACCAACCCACTGCGTCTCAATTCGCTTATTTATACTGGGCCTATGTACTCTTTGTGTGAAGAAACAGTATACTTTTGAGTGTAGCAGGAGAGCCAAGACAATCTTTGCGAGACACTATCACGTCATTAAATAGCGTCTTTAACGGTTGCTCTCTGTTGCTTAGTTACACACATCCTCCTTATATAAAATATAACACGGATAACATTAAATAAATATTTTTTATCAGTTTAAATGTTGATTATTAGTCCCTTTATCTAACCTCTCTACTTAACCGTCGGTTGCGCATGTTTTGTAGTTTTCTGAACACTTTTTATTCATGTTTGTAGTTCTGAACTGGATCCTCCTCCAAAGCGCAGTGGATTGTGGGTAATATCAGCTGCTATAGTGAGCACGGATCCACACTTCGAAAATCCACCGGGAATACTCTGGACTTCCGACACGGTAACACTTTATTTTAAGGTGCTTGTAATAAGCAGTAATTAACAGTTAATAAGACACTTATAAGACCTTATAAGATGCATATAAGCATTAACTAATGATAATAAATAAATTAAATTAAATAATACATTTCTCAAGTATCAATACATTGCACTTTTAGAACAGCCGAACAAACATAAATGGTAACACAAACTCCCAGTCACTTAAAAATTTACCTTCCCAAGAGGGAGTAGTTTCCCTGATCTCTTCAGGGCCTGGACCTTTAATTAACCCTTATATGAAGTAGTTAATGCTTATATGCATCTTATATGCATCTTATAAGGTCTTATAAGTGTCTTATTAACTGTTAATTACTGCTTATTACAAGCACCTTAAAATAAAGTGTTACCAATGCGTGTCCTGAGGATATGTCTCCTCGTGGGAATGTAAAGTAGGCTCTTTTTCTAATTCTCGCTCATCTTTCCGTGATTTCTTGAGAAAGCATAATACTGAACGTTGTGCATACGCCACTGTCCCGCAGGTTAATGAACTCTCACGTAGGCTACGCACATAACGTCAATCAAACCAATACGTTTGAAAACAGCCGTCGCATTTTAACGCGCAGCATTTGTCAATCTATCAATTAAGCCCCTTTCGAACAGAGATTCCGGGTAATACACGGATAAAGTGACCCAGGTTCGTTTGATTTTGGTTCATTCACACTGCCAGTGATTTTCCGGAATCAGAGAGTGTGTTCACACACTAGCGCATTACGTACGCTTCAGCGTCATCATTACGACACGGCATTGATTACGGCTTGTGTTCACACTAGAGGTCTTCTCGGGTCCTAAAAACTGTACCCGACCCGAATCGACCCGAATCACTACTTACCCGAACCCGACGTGCATAAATTGTATTTTTTAAAAGAAAAACCCGACCCGAGACAGACCCGATAAAATTAGACCCGAGTCCGACCCGACCTGACGCCATTTCCTATAGAACCCGACTGGACCTGAACGTAAACGGCATTTACATTGTGCACAGCCTGCAGCCCTGCGTTTCTCAAAAATGCACTTAACATAGACGCGCAAGTGTAAGCGCGCTGAAGTGCTAAAATGTCAATCACACATCACTGTAACCCATTACGTCCTATAAAATTTGGCATAATGTTATTTACCGGACCATACGATGATTAGAACCACCATTCGTTTTTTTCCCTGACATATTTCTGTTATCGACTCCATGCTTTTCTGACAGTGTCGCATATTTTTAAAATTGATTGACAGGCCTGGCTAAACGACAATTCAAATACTTGCATTTAGTCAAACATCCATCCACATGATGGCGCACTAGTTCTTCTTGGCAAAGGGAGGGGTTGGTTTATGTGGAGCGATTAACTGAGTAAATGCGGAGGCAACCGTGCTTATGCTTATAGCCCATTTGCACGTAGAAGCGCGGATTCGCTCTCTCACTTAGAAAAAGTGGGAGAACGGTGTCATAGAGTTGTTTTAAATATTGCAATTTTAAATGCCCAACATAGTTTAAAAGAATTCGGGTCTTCTCGGGTCCATTTGGAAAAGGCATATTTATTTTAAATTACCCGAGACCCGAGGCCACTAATACCGAATCCGACCCGTGTCCGAGACACTCGTCGGAGTTTTGGACCCGAACCCGCTCGGGTCTCGGGTCGGCCCTCGGGTTTTCGGATCCAAGTGGACCCGTGAAGACCTCCAGTTCACAAAGCGCGCGTTCCGGGACTGATCACGGCAATGTTACTCGGTCCACAACCCGGCATCAATCCCGGGTCGTGTTTGCATTCGCACAGAAGGCGTTCTGGCAATTTCCCGGCAATTTCCCGGGATCAACGCGCTGTGTGAAATCAACAATTAAACGTACCAAACTCATATCGAACCGCGATCTCAAAACCGAGGTACGTACCGAACCGTGACTTCTGTGTATCGTTACACCCCTGCTATGTTGTGATTTGACATTCACCATTCCCGAGATTCCTATGAACTGACAATCTTGGCATCTGTGAGAAAGGCTGACCTTTAACAAATAGTAATAAAAAAATCATACTCAATTACAACTCGCAACATTTCCCCACTGCTCTCTCTCGCAGCTTATATACTAATCGGTGCGGATGAAACAGAGCTGGCCCTCGACTCTCGTGTTTTGCGTGTGGGGATGGTGACAACGCAACATGAGATACCGACCGTAGCCTCGGGCAATTCATCATCCTCAGTCCAATCGTTAAGATTGGGGTTAAACACCTGAATGCATTTTTTATACTTCTTCTCAATCTCGTTCCATCCACCCAGGAGGTAAATCTTGCTATTCAAGGTGGCAGCACCTGCTGTGCTCACTCCCGTCAGCAAGGGGGCGACGTAGCTCCACTGGCCCGAGTGAGGGTTGTAGCACTCAACCGGTAAGACATCTACCCGTTCGCCACGCGCGCCGAGTTGGCTTCCGCCGATAACGTAAGCGCGATCTCCGACGGTCACCGAGCAATGCCATCCTCTCGGGCTGCTCAGGCTATTCTTATCCTGCCAACTATCGGTGGACGGGTCGTAAGAACACACGGCGCGAGAGTAGGCGTTGTTAATGTAACCGCCGCTAACCAAGATCTTGCCGTCGATAACTGTGCTGCCATGGCAACATCTAGGGACTTCCATTGAAGCTTTCATTTGCCATTGGTTCGATGAGGGAACGTAGCACTCGACGGACGCCTGACAGCCCTCAGAATTGCGTCCCCCTACAGCGAACAGGAGGCCGTTGAAGGTGTTGAGGCTGAAATGAGTGCGCTTCTGAATCATGTTAGCCAGGTGGATCCACGTGTTGAATCGGGGGTCATATCTGAGGAGAGAAATACTCGTAAGTGATGCATGGACATGAGATAAAGCCATGGACAATTCTTATTTTTATGGACTATTGCAGTGTTTGTTACAAAGGATTTATCTGTGCACATCATTCTTTTTTTATTTATGTTCCCTCTATGTTGAATCTTCGATCAAAATAACTTCCCCTCTATCTTGCAGCGATATCGGTCCTGTCCCAAATGGCACATCTTCATGTGCACATGGGGTCTTGTGAAAATGACAAAATGACAAATGAGACACCCTACGGTCTGGTGGACTTAATGGACACGCTATTGTAAGTCCACAAGACCAAAGGACAGTGATCTCAAACTCAATGGCCACAGCTCTGCACAGTTTAGCTCCAACTCACACCTGGTTGGACGTTTCTAGTAATCCTGAAGACCTTGATAAGCTGGTTCAGGTGTGTTTGATTAGGGTTGGAGCAAAACTGTGCAGAGCTGTGGCCCTTTCAGGAATTGAATTTGAGACCATTGCCCTACGGGTGTCTCATTTGTCATTTCAGGTTTCAGAAGGGTGCTCACGAGCGCCCCCTTCGCGGTCGATATTCGCCCTCGATGCGCACTTTTGAAGACTTCTTCCTGACAGTCAAAGCGGAGTTACGTCATGAAAGTGCGGACTCGTAGGAAGACTGCGAGTGCTTAGGGTGCAATTTGGGACAGGACCAAAGTGGCATTATGTCACAAAAGTGTGGACTCGGAGGAAGATCGCAAGAGCGGTTCCATTTGGGACAGGGCCTTACAGTCTTGTGGACTTACAATGCCCTCTGCATGAGCGTTTCCGTTAAGTCCATGAGACTGTAGGGTGTCCCATTAGTCATTTTAGGTTTCAGAAGGGTGCTCGCAGAAGACTTCTACCCATCAGCCCCTTTCCCAAATGGCACACTTCACGTGCACTTGCGGTCTTGTGGACTTACAATAGCTGCCGCATGCTCGTGTACGTTAAGGCCACAAGACCGTCTCATTTGTCATTTCAGGTTTCAGAAGGGTGCCTGCGAGCGCCCCCTTTGCGGTCGATGCGCACTTTTGAAGACTTCTTCCAGACAGCCAAAGTGGCATTACGTCACGAAAGTGCGGACTCGTAGGAAGATCGCAAGAGCTTAGGGTGCAATTTGGGACGTCTCGTGGACTTCACGATCACACTCACGCGGCAGGAATTGTAAGACCGTAGGGGGTCTCACTTGTCATTTTAGGTTTCAGAAGGGTGCTCGTGAGCGCCCTCGATGTGCACTTTCTGAAGACTTCTTCCCGGCTGTCAAAGCGGCGTTATATCGCGAAGTGTTAAGTGTGGACTCGTAGGAAGAGCAAACCACAACCATTCAATCGTGTTTAGCGAGCAAACCACAACCATTCAATCAAGACCCGCTTTACATTTGTTCTTGTTCGAGAAGACGTTTCACTCAGATATACGTCACAATAGGGAAGAAAAGACGAGCGCAACTTCCGTTTCATGCTGACTTTAAGCTCTAAAGCGTTATATCGCGAAGTGTTAAGTGTGGACTCGTAGGAAGAGCAAACCACAACCATTCAATCGTGTTTAGCGAGCAAACCACAACCATTCAATCAAGACCCGCTTTACATTTGTTCTTGTTCGAGAAGACGTTTCACTCAGATATACGTCACAATAGGGAAGAAAAGACGAGCGCAACTTCCGTTTCATGCTGACTTTAAGCTCTAGAAATGTATTTAGCTCTAGAAGTGTAACAAGTTTTTTAAATAAACTTTCCCAGAGATTAAGTTCAGAGTGCGGACATCGATACTTTTTTGTCATGCATCTCAGCTCAATTATATTTTGTATCAGTTGACAATAAAGCCTTTGTAATAAAATTAGGGCTGTGCGATCAATTGATTTGGATGAATGTCGATTATGAAATCGCAAAGGCTGCGATTATTTTATAATGCGCAGCTTGTCAGTGACGGACGGCTCAGTGATCCATAGAAAACGCGGCTCACTTCTTACACAGAATAAGGCAGTCGTGTGCTTATTAGTCATGTTTAATCAATCAAAGCGTTTCAATCTTCTGTTTATTGAGATACAGAAAGTGTGATGCCCACAGGGATTTCCTGGAGTGATGTGTGTTATCGAACTTCAGCGGCGGGGCATATTTGGCGTGTGTGTGTGACACGCCCTCTGGTGTTCAGAGGGATATGTGGTGTGTGACGCCCCCTGGTGTTCAGAGGGATATGTGGTGTTTGTGTGTGAGACGCCCTGTGGTGTTCAGAGGGATATGTGGTGTGTGACGCCCCCTGGTGTTCAGAGGGATATGTGGTGTGTGACGCCCCCTGGTGTTCAGAGGGATATGTGGTGTGTATGTGTGTGTGACGCCCCCTGGTGTTCAAAGGGATATGTGGTGTTTGTGTGTGAGACGCCCTGTGGTGTTCAGAGGTATATGTGGTGTGTGTGTGTGTGTGACGCCCTCTGGTGTTCAGAGGGATATGTGGTGTGTGTGTGTGTGTGACGCCCCCTGGTGTTCAAAGGGATATGTGGTGTTTGTGTGTGAGACGCCCTGTGGTGTTCAGAGGGATATGTGGTGTGTATGTGTGTGTGACGCCCCCTGGTGTTCAAAGGGATATGTGGTGTGTGTGTGTGAGACGCCCTCTGGTGTTCAGAGGGATATGTGGTGTGTGACGCCCCCTGGTGTTCAGAGGGATATGTGGTGTGTATGTGTGTGTGACGCCCCCTGGTGTTCAAAGGGATATGTGGTGTTTGTGTGTGAGATGCCCTGTGGTGTTTAGAGGGATATGTGGTGTGTATGTGTGTGTGACGCCCCCTGGTGTTCAGAGGGATATGTGGTGTGTATGTGTGTGTGACGCCCCCTGGTGTTCAAAGGGATATGTGGTGTGTGTGTGTGAGACGCCCTCTGGTGTTCAGAGGGATATGTGGTGTGTGTGTGTGTGTGTGTGTGTGTGTGTGTGTGTGTGTGTGTGTGTGTGTGTGTGTGTGTGTGTGTGTGTGAGAGACTCTGGTGTTCAGAGGGATATGTGGTGTGTGTGTGTGTGTGTGTGAGAGAGACTCTGGTGTTCAGACGGAGCAGCATTTACTACCGATCAGCCGCTGCACTGACAAACTGCGCATTAAATAATGACAGCCTTATTATTTCCACCAAATCGCGTGCGGTTTCATTTCGAGTAATCGTGCAGCCCTACTAAAAATGATGTAAAATCGTACCTGCTGAAATTGCTGACGGCATGTTTTGCTTGGTTCCTTGCATCGTTCTGGTCTTCTCCACCGGCCACGTAAAGGAACCCATCCAAAACAGCCACGCACTGATTGAAGCTCTTCGCGGGCATCTCCGTGAGCTTGTTCCAGACATTGTCTTCATCTCTGTAGAGAATGTCCTTGCTGAGGGATTTCTCGGTAAGCGCAGGCCGTCCACCCACCGTGAGCAGAACTCGTAGGCCTCCGCGGACCTTGGTTCTTCGGGATTGCAAGATGTTCTGCTGGAATGGCAGCAGGTGGTAATTCATGGCATCCACCAAAAGACGGTGGCACTCAGAATCTTGCATCATCCTGGGAACGTTTTGTACGTGACTGACAAGGTCCTGAGGTAAGATCGTTCCAAAGCGAATGTTGGACAGGAGATCGGGAGAGTACTTCAGCCTCTTCTCATCGAAGTCCAGCCACTTGATCGCGATCTGGAAAGCCGTGAGCTCAGAAGGCAATTGAAGGGAGTCGTCCGTGAGAAATTCGCTGATTTGCTCGTAGGTGAGTTTTAGGAACTGTTCCATTTCGGAGAACTCAATAAAGTTCTCCCGCATGAACTTCTGAGCCGCTTCTTTCGTCTCTTTCAGATTGTAAGTATCGGCGATGTTCACAACATACATGCAGTTTTCCACGCTAGTCTCCCGCATTAAGAAATCGCTGCACATCTTCACCAAAGTATGGATTTGCAACAGCAAGGCTGCTGAGATGGTGCTACCAATTGTGTAGAGCGACAAGGTGAGTTTTCCAGAATAGGCATATGTGATGACTGTAGCCAGACCAACCGGGGACAATTCACTGAGCTCGATCTTCTTGAGGGATGGATCCTTCCTGAGCATTGCTTGGATGTACTCGCTGCAAGAAGCCATCACAACCTTGTGAACTTCAAAAGACTTGGACTTGGTTGCGACAGTCAGATCGCAGAGAAAGCTGTCTTGCCTCATGTGGCCAAGACCCTCCAAGAGATTTGGTGCATAGACGGGGTCGGTGACCTCCGTTGAGATACAACTAAAGCCATTTCCACATTCCAGGAGAGTGTTGAGCCCATTGATTTTGTTGGTGGGACTGTCCTCTACCATAATTGTCATTTCATTGATATCAGCTTTGTTCTTCTTAGCGGTCTTGTTCTTTTTGGGTGCCATGACTGTAGTGATGGGTCACAGCCAAGACCTAATTTTGACAAAAGGAGAGCACATTTTTACCATTTATATAAAGTAGTTCTCCTATAAAAAAGGATTTTAACCAATACCCAAGACCAAACGTAATAGCTCAAGAATCGATTTTTGAAAAAGCCTTAATCACTGACCATATAAACATAGTAGGTTAGGATGTGTCCACCTAAATGTGCATAGTGGTTGCAGACTGGGCCCAAATTTAGGGGCTGTTTACACGACGCCATTTTCAACCAAAAAACGTAAAACTTTTTATGCGTTTTGGCCGTTCGTGTACACGACAAAGGCGTTTTGGGCGCCTGAAAATGCAAACTTTTGAAAATGGGTTTTAAAGTGCAAGTTTTTGAAAACGGTCTCCATGTTAACAACAAAAACTTGAATCTCTGAAGACGATGACGTCATGCACATGCGTATCACGTGTTCAGTCTACACAGGGTTTCATCGCCATCTCCTGGCCTGGCAGCAGAATACAGCGCTTTTAGTCGTTTTCGTGGATCCGTGTGAACGGGGATCGTTTTGACGAAGGTGTCGCCTGTGCGCAGAAAACGCAAAGGAAAAACTTCTCCGTTTTAAGCGTATCGTTGTCGTGTAAACGTACCCTTAATTTGGATCAGAATGATTTATAGATTTGGAAATCCCAAGGTTTGCTATCCAGGATCAGGTAACCAATCTTACTTTTGTGCTGTTTTTTTAAAGCAACATTGGATTGGATCACCCTGATCCAAATACACACTTTTTCAGATTCCCAGTGCTCCATTTCACACATTTCACATTTCACAATGTAGGCTACCAGCAATGTAAAGAACAACAGCTAGAGTAGTCCACGTAGGGTCACTTTAAGGGCTTTATTTGAAGAGAAAGAAAACCACATGAACAAACAAACATCCCCTTCTATTTTTTATTCCCTTTAAACAATCAGACCCTATACGGACGCACTAAAGGGACATTGTGATGGAAAAAAATATAAGATGGGAGAAAAATTATATATTCCACAGCTTTTGAGCTTCAGAGAAACTTTGCGTTCACTGCAAATGCAAAGTTGTGGGGGAGCGCAACACATTTGCGAGAGAATGCAAAAGCATTAGAATTAATTTTTAAGCCCATTTTACAATTTATCAATAAAAAAATAACTTCTCAACATTCTCATACTGAACCAGTCGGACACTTTTCTCATGTTGGATAGTTCACCCAAAAATGAAACTAAGCAAGTTGATGGTCCCCATAGACTTCCATAGTATTTTTTCTTTTTTTCTTATTATGGAAGTCAATGGGGTCCAATACATCTTTGGTTGCACATATTCTTTAAAATATTTATTAAAATTTATGTTCACCATTAGAAAGAAATTCATACAGGTGTGGAAAACCATAAGGGTGAGTAAATAATGTCAGCATTTTATTTTTTGGATGAACTATCCCTTTTACAATTAGAGTCACTCTAGCAAGAAGCGAAAAAACAAACAAACAGAAAAGTAGGTAAACCAAAAGTCATCTAAGAAGTGTAAAGCTTTAGCCTAATGAACTCTTAAGAGTTGTTATCGCAGCATATCACCTCGGCATTGCTCTCTTTGCATCTGTCACAAGTTATCACAACTATGGCCAAGAATAGAAAGACTGTGTATCATTGCTGTTCCTTTAATAGACTCGAAGTCACTGGAACCCATCTGTCCTTTCAGCACCAACACTTTTTTCTTTTATTTTTTATCTGTGTACAAGTTAAATAATTTATACTAGTAGGATCTATAAGTGCTGTCTTTGTAGGCTAGGCTATGTTCGCACACACATGCATATATATATATGTGTGTGTGTTACTTTAATTACTTTAAATAACCTAGAACACTCTGATCTGACACCCATAACGCAACTCACAGGAACCATCAACTCAAGAACCCCACAAAGCCAAGCTTGTGAAGAAGATGCTCTTTGTTGAAACCATGTTGCTGCAAAGATCCACCGAAAACGTTTAGTATAAAGACAATAATGAACTTACCGATGTCGAGATGAAGTAGGTGCAGGAGAAGGACAGACTTGCACCCCTAAGTTGGTGTGCAGGAGAGAGAGAGAAAGATAGAGAGAGGTGTCCCGTCAGAGGAATACACAGTAACTCCTCCTCTATATTGATCGTAAATGTGCTCCGTTATTTCAGCAACAGGACAGGTCAGAATTACACAAACATAAAGGCGTGAAGAGCGTTTGGTGGACTCGGGTTCTGTCAGGCAGGTTATACTACAAGAAGGATAAACATTAAAACACACCAAAAAAGAAAAAGCAAGACGTGTGTATTTGTGGATGAACGGAACAGAACAGGCGCCTCCAGAAGCGTTCTCTACCTTTTCTGCAGAAGGTTAATTTACTTTTTAACTTGACACACCAAACTAATATGAACACACCAAAACATTAAAAAAAAAACACACATACTATATTTCAGTATTGAATAGTAGCTACTTATTTGGTTCCCGCAAAAAATAACCAAATTGGAACTTTAGGGTGACGTTCTATGGAACGTTCTAACGTATAGCCTACACTAACAGCTGCATAAAGTAACAGTAAAAGATCAACTATAAAATACTCATAATGTTTGAATTTCTTTGTGTTATAGCCTATGAACTGAAGCATCATTAAATCGTTTAAAAACAAATTCACATGCAAACGTTTAGTAGCTAATAGCCGACGTTTAAAAATCAATGTTTTTATTAATGGAAGTACCCATTAATAAATTAACCTAGTGCAGTTTTGTATAATGTTACTACCTTTATAGCCTAGGCTACCTAAACGTTTTTTTTTATTTTATTTTTACTTCTTTATTCATGCAAGCTACTTCATCCAAATTGTTTCCTGGAAATTATGATCTGAAACCCAACTAATTGCCAATATTAGCCTATGGGTGTTTCGAAGGGTCAGATGACGAGTCTAACCGCGTGACGCGACGCGTCGGACGCATGTGCACAAATGACACCACAAACAATTAAATGCAAATGTTTTAGTTTTTTCAGTGCACTGCAAATTTGATCAAAGGTGTAAATAATCGCTTCCATTCAGTGACTAGTGTTTAAAAGTGTGATTGATGGTGTTTGTGGAGTGTATAGGATCTTAGCGCTTTATTTATCCGAAAGCTCGTGTACGGATTATAGAATCTATAGAATAGGCTTTTTCCAACAAGGTGAAACCCTACATCCACTCTCATATCGTCTCCGCCCATATAAAGGTGACGAGAGAATTATGGCGAGACTTTAATAAGTGCATGAAGTGCGCATGCGTGTGAGGAGGATCTGACATGGCCGAAGCTGATGTGAAAAAGGTTTTGCAATTAAAGCATCAGCTGAAAGAATCCTGTGAAGGACACACGGTAGGATCCTGTCTGTCGTCAACACACACAGTTTGAATCGCTTTGCTCAATGCAAACAGGCTGAAAGATAAAGCCTCCGGGGCAAGTTGTCACTCAGGCTTGATCTCAGGAACTGTAGGCCTGCGTTTAAGCAAATCACCTCATTAACGAACACCTTAATGAAGACTGAACTAATATATCAGTATAACGTTAGGGGTTTGATAGCTGGTGACGACTGGGACGCATTTAAACAAGTCTACTATATAATGAAGGTTAATTTTTTAACTGCTCAGGAGTGTTTTTCATATGTGAGGTTTGGGCGATTTAGTCACGTGTCTCATGTTACCTTTTCCATGTTTGCTTTTTTTGTTTAAAATTTCACCGTAAACCAAATACATAACCTATAATATCAGTAATGCAAGTATGACAACTAGCCCAGTTGAGCATAAAGCTTGATTAATTATTGAAAACATTGTTTTAAGTGCCTTTGCAGTGTCTGCTTTAAGAAAGCAAAGAACCCAGATGCAACAATAATCATTTTTTTAGTCAACTTTTTATAGTCTTTGTGATCCTTTTTGCTGTTTTTAAGGCTGTAGTCAACATTTAAAGTGGATCAAAACCTTTCATCAAAGCTATACATGAATTTTGAACAATACCTGGACAACTTTGATGAACTATTTCGATCCACTTCAAATGTTGACTACTGTATTTGCACAGAAATGGAGTGAAATAAACAGTAAAGGTGACCTGTGAATGGAAGAAAGGGGGATGACAGCAGCTGCTGAGAGAGGGAGGTGTGTGTGTGTGTGTGTGTGTGTGTGTGTGAGGGTGTTTCTAATAATAATCCTGCAGTTGTCTCTCATGGTCACTGTCTGTCAGTTTGGCCAATGTGCGGCTGCTTATTCTGTTTAAACAACTTGCCATGCAACATTTTGGTGACTTTTATAGTGCATCATTAAAGTACTTGTTTAATATGTAAAACGAGACTAGTTTTTGTTTAATGTGATTGCACAGTTCATCGAGCCTTCAGTTGCACATGCGCATGTTTCACAGCCATGATGTGAATATTGTGTGTGTGTTATAGCTGTTATTGCATGGCCCATTTATAGTGCCTTGGCTGAGGTTTCTCCATACATAGCTTTGCCTGACCAGAAAGCACTCGCTCAGCACATTCAGGTTATCAGACGGCCATGTGGAAATGGGTGGGACTTCTTTTACCATGTTTAGACTGTCTAATTTCTGTTTGATTGATACAGTAACATCATTTATGACCTCTTCAGAGTCACATGATCCTTCAGAAATCATGTTTATGTATGTATGCTACCTTTTAAAAGTTGTACATCAGTAAGATTTTTTTTATATATATATTTGAAAAAAGTCTTTTCTGCTCACCATGGCTGTATCTATTTGATCAAAAATACAATAAAAACCGTAATATTGTGATATTACTACTTAAAGTAACTGTTTTCTATGTGAATAATAGTAAAGTGTAATTTATTCCTGTGATCAAAGCTAAATTGCCAGCATCATTACTCCAGTCTTCAGTGTCACATGATCCTTCAGAAATCACTCTTAAATTGATGACTTAATGATCAAGAAACATTTTTTTTTTTTTTTTTTTTGATGAATAAAATGTTGAAAAGAACTGCATTTTTTTTTGTTGTAAATTGAAAGCTTCTGTAACGTTATACACTAATTGGGGGTCAATAAGATTTGTTTATTTGAAAGAAATTAATACTTTTATTGAGCAATGATGCATTAAAGTGACAGTAAAGACATTTATAATTTTCCAAAAGATTGTATTTCAGATAAATGCTGTTGATGATAATGATAAATGTTTCTTAAGCATCTGATCATCATATTAGAGTGATTTCTGAAGGATCATGGGACACTGAAGACCGTAGTAATGGATAAAGGAGTAATGATGCTGACAATTCAGCTTTGATCACAGGAATAAATTACACTTTACTATATATTCACATAGAAAACAATTATTTTAAACTGTTATAATATTTCACAGTTTTAATTGTATTTTTTGATCAAGTAAATGCAGCTTTGGTGCGCAGAAAAGACTTCTTTCAAAAACCTTTTAAAAAATCAGTCCGATCTCAAACATTTAAACACTAGTGTACATAAACATTGACAAACAGGTTATCATATTCACAGCATGGAGTATACCATAATGTATGAAACGCCATTTAATTTACATGTCTTTAACTTTAATTTTACGGACCAAGGTGGAGGAACACTTAATTTCCCAGAATGCTCTGATTTACTTGGTTTACAAAAATGGAGCCAAACAACATAGATAGTTTTGCAAGCTGGTAATCCTAACCAGAACTACCAAGAAGTTTCGTTCTGGCCAATTCTGTTGAAACAACTGCTACCACACCAACATTAAATTGATTGAATCAGTTCTTCTCCTCCATTATCTGAAGTCTAATTCACCAGCTTGTTGGAATTGAAATTCCAGCTCATGAATTGAAAAATAGGCAAAGTTTTGCCCAAAATCAGCTAATTCTTTGTCTTGCTTTGTTTAATTGACCTATTTCTATCATTTCAGCTGCTGAAAATCTTGAAGAAACTTGAAGCATTGGACATTACTCTTGAAATCCTCTCTGTAAGTGGTTAATGTATTTTTATTATTAAATATCTTTTTTTTTTTTTTTTTAGCTGTGTCTGATCTTGTCTGCACCTTCAATTCTTATACTTCAGGAAACTGGAATTGGAAAAGTCGTCAACTCCTTCCGGAAGCACGATGATGCGGGAAAGCTGGCGAAAGTATTGGTGAATCGCTGGAAAACGCTTGTTCCAAAAGACTCTTTAAGGTCTTAAAAATCTGTAATCGACCCCTTTTTTATTTAAGTGACTTTTTCCCGTTAGCATGTTGCACTCTTAGTCTTTTCTCTTGTTTTGGTTTTGTATTGCAGTTCGAGAGGAAAGCCTGATGAAAGCCAAAATGAGCCGTTCGGTGGAGAAGTTCAGGAAAACAGCCGTCTTTCAGAGAGCACCAACTCTAGAAAAAGACCAAAGATGGAGAATTCCAGTGCAGAGAAGAAAATATCACATAATGTTGACAAAAAAGACAATATTAAGCCCAGTAAATCCAAACTCTACGTGAATGGTGAAAAGAAGGATGAGATCCGCCAAGATTCGAGTGTGAATCAGGACTCGGGCCACGGCAAGGAGAAGACAAAGAAGCTTTCTGGCATAGCAAAGAAACAGCAGGACACAAAACTGGAAAAACCTTTGAAAGCATTTCAAACGCAGAGAGAGAAGAGTGGAGAGCACAAGAAGGAGAAGCGCGAGAAGGCCAAAGACAGATCCGCCTCGAGGGAGGGCGAGAAACCCACGGGCGAAGGCCTTGAGACGCCCTCCATGTCGTTCGAAGCGTACCTGAGCTACGACCTGCAGACCAGCAAACGCAGGAGAGCCTTCAGCGCCGCCAAGAGCCCGAGGAAGAGACTCAAGCCTACACACACCGAGAGACTCAAGCCTGCACACTCAGAGAGACTCAAGCCTACACACACCGAGAGACTCAAGCCTGCACACTCAGACCAGTCCCGTGCGTCTCTGAAGGCCAGCACGACTGCGGGGGAACAGCCAATCAAAGCGGTACGACAAACAAAACTGGCCTTTTGTTTTGTTCTTTAAAAGTATAGTTCTCCCAAACACTTTACTTCAAGTCATATATATATATATATATATATATATATATATATATATATATATATATATATATATATATATATATATATATATATATATATATAT